CGTTTATCATATTCATTTATTCATTTTCAAAAGCCAAAATGGTTCTGAATATGGCAAAACAGCAAACACAGTATAACATCACACAAGTCTTGTTGATCAGAACACAGAATAAATAACATAAATACTGGTTGACTTGGTGGATGATGTATAACGTTAGTTACCCTGCCTTGAACATGCCTTGTCTAGTCCTGGTTGGAGCCGCTGTAAATCACCTGATGTTGGAGGCTGTGTTCGGTGGCTAATGAGCCTGTTGCCCGCTTGCCAAACTCTATGGTGCCCATTTCGGCCCTGCTCCCCAGCAGTCCAAAATGCTTATGCTAAACCTTCTCCCCCATTTCTTCCAGCTCACAGTCCCAGTACAGTCAGCTGATAGGATCACTAACTAGCTTTTGGCAGCAACTGGCAGCAGTTAGATCATGAAGCAGTGCTGTGTTACAAGAGAAAAGTCCCATATTGCTACAATTCCCTGATACTTTCGTCCCAGTGACAAGTTGCAACTCCTGTTAGATGCTGTTTCTGCGAAAATCCAACTAATGAAAAGTGTATCGACCAAACTCTTCTCATTGACTAACAGTTTACTCAACTATTAGGGAAAGCCCTAATTACATTTTTAATATACAGGTTAATAAATGAGTTCTGGGAACATAGCAATATTGACAGGTGGACACAAACCTCTAGGTTAGTCAAATTTATTGAATGGTAAAATTATGACCCAAACTGTCAGTTCTATTTATCACACTTGACAGACCAACTCTCTGTTGTCACTCTGATCGTCGTTTTCAGTGCCATGTGAAAGTAGGTGTTATTATTTTACGCACTGCTGGTTGCAGGTGCACAGTACCCATCCTATAAAGCACTCCACTAATAGGAGGATGCATGAGGCATGCATTAACTCTAATTCTGAGCAGTGGAGTAAAAGGACCTGTGTAAATGCAGTGAGGACAGCAGCGCTGACATGGAAAAAAGGGGACTGGGTGAGCCCTAAAATCCTATGTCCTTGACAGAGGGCTTGGAAATAAATATTTGCCCATGCAGTGTTAGTGATGGCTGCTGACTGGACATCGGGGGGAAGTTTTTTTCTCTCACCAGTGAATGTGTCCTTGTGGTTTCTAATGTGGCATGCAGCTGCACACTTTTTACCTGCAGTGATGAGTCCTCTTGTATGGAGGACGGAAAGTGCCACAATTAAATAAATAAATACACCATTAAATAATTACTTAAATGTGTCATTAATGAATTAAAATTGGAATTAAATACATAAATGTGATATTAAATGTGTCATTAATTAATTCAAATACCGTTTCATTTTATGTAAAATACATATATAATTATTTCATTATTTACATTTACATTTCATGGTCCTGCGTTGCAGTGCTTCATGCTGTCAAAGGCAGCCATCAAACTCAGTGGGTGGGGCCAACGCGAATCTAGCCTGATCCATTGCTTTGGTCTGAAGTAGAGTGCCAGGAAGATCTTCATGAAGTTTCTAGGGCAGAGGTCGCTAACAGGCGAGTCTGGACCCAGACACCGTCCTATGCGGACCCAGACCTATAATCAATTAATTATTGAAGATTCTAAATTTTGATGGGGAGCTTCTATTTTAACCAGCACAGCTTTTTTAGTCTTTACGGTATTTGTTTAGCAGATCAGGAAGCTCACAGACCAATCGCATGCTAGTTAAGCCATCCCACGTGATGCTGCTCAGCCAATCAAATCTGTTTAAACAGCGCGACTGAATACAGAGATGAGAGCGATGAGAGAGGAGAGACAGACGGAAAGAGAAGTCACAGATACATGGAGAGGAAACGGAGAGATGAGTGAGCGCGAGACAACAGAAGATTTATGGCGCTCTCTAAGAAGAGAAAAGTGGATAGAAAATCGAGCTTTTAATGGACAGATTCATTCACATTCATTCTTCCCACTGGGAGCACATAACCAGTGTGTCTCATGTTCAGAGACCGCGGCGCTGATTAAAAGTGCCAGTGTGAAACGCCACTATGAGACAAAACACAAAGTTTTCATCAAACATACCCACTCAAGTCTGAACAAGGTCACAGAAAATAAGCAGGCTCAGATCCCAATATGATCACTCAACCAGTATCCTGACCAGTGTTGGGAGTAACGGCGTTTAAGTATAACGGCGTTACTAACGGCGTTACTAGCGGCGTTATTTTTTCAGTAACGGGGTAATCTAATTAAGTACTTTTCCCATCGTTGCAACGCCGTTACCGTTACTGAGAATGTAAAGTGGCGCGTTACTTGCGTTCCTACAATGTGGTTGAATGAAGCGCAGCGGTGTCAGGCTTTCTGACAGCCACACATCAGCTGCCGGGAGAGGGCAGGGTGGTGATGATGACACCGTTGCAAATGCGATGATGATTGGCTGGGTGGGCGGATGCCAAGACAGAGACAATGGCGCCGAGCTAGGGAAATTCAAAGGTAGCGATATCAAACTGGAAGTACCGACACTACTACTCGCTTACTGAAGTTAAAGGCAAAGATGTGTTGATATTCATTTATAAAATTTGTTGAGACTGTTAATCAAGATATGAAACAGTTAACAAAGAAAAAGGGAAACTCAAGCTGCTGCTACATTTTTCTTTCAAAGTTAAACACTTTATTTTATTTTTTAGACTTAGCAGAGGATGTGGAAGCAGGAGCTGCTGACCCAGAGCATGTAGCGAGTAAAGCAGAGGAACTTATTGAAGTTCTTGGAGTTATTTCCGCACTTTCTGACCAAGATATTGACCACAGAGTGACTGCAGATTTAGAAGAAGTAGTCCAATAGCGCCACCCAGTGTATTGGAATGTGTTCACTAGCTCTGCATCGATCCATTATCTGGAATTGATTTGTCTTGGCTTGATGCGCAGGGTAACCAATCAGGCGTTAGGTTCCGCCTACCAACTTTTGATGGGTGAGTTTGACAGTTTTAAGTAATTCATGAAGCACTGTAACGCAGGACCATGAAATGTAAATGTAAATAGTGAAATAATTATATATGTATTTTACATAAAATGAATCGGTATTTGAATTAATTAATGACATATTTAATAACACATTTATGTATTTAATTCCAATTTTAATTAATGAATGACACATTTAAGTAATTATTTAATGGTGTATTTATTTATTTAATTGTGGCTCTTTTAGTCCTCCATACTCTTGGGCCTTCTTGCTGTTATGATGTGTGGAAATGTTTAACATGTTTTCCTGAAAGTTGCAGTTTGCATCCATGTCTGTCCAGAGTCATATAATATATGTATGTGGTCAATATGGATATTGGAAGGAATTAAATAAAAGGTATAAAGTGCATTTTTTGACTACATGGAAGTTATCACTATATTGATGATATATAAACAGTATGTATTATTTCTGTTCATCTGAATTTGACAAACTCGCTGCAGTGGCAGCAATAAATGCAAAAAGTCTTTATCTGGAGCCAGTGTTTGGTTTGTTCCTTCTGGGCTACTGTAGAAAAATGGCAGTTCAACATGGTAGACTCCACTGAAGGTCACCCATGGTGTCTCTAGATGAAAGTAACTCATTCTAGGTAATAATTCTTATTTTCAGGTGATTATACACTAATGAAAATATACCTATGAATATTATATTAAATTTCAAACAATAGATCCTCCTAATTTTACACACTTGACCTTTAAATTATGGCAAAAAAAAAAAGTTTACATCACAATGGCCTCTGACCTTTGAGTCAAAAGTATTACTAATTCAGCATCTGACCAACTGAGAAATATGGTCACAATCTGGGCTTCTGTTCCTGAGTCATGGTGTTGAATAATGGAGTTTTACTAGGACTGGAATGTGACCTTTGGCCTTTTGGGTAAAAAATTATATAACTTCATGGTTGTATCTCATTAAACATCTGTGTGAAAATGTGTCATAATTACTGCATCAATGCTTGAGTTGTAGCAAAAAAATCTATCTTGTGATATCACACTGACCTTTGACCACCAAATTCTAATCAGTTGAGTCCAAGTGGATGTTTGTGCCAAATTTGAAGAATTTTCGAGGCGTTGAGATATCATGTTCACAAGAATAGGATGGACGGACAACCGGAAAATATTCAAGTATAAAACTAGCAGTATGTTACAGACAGCTGTCTCCAGTTGTTTCTCATGTGTCTCCGGCCTGTTGGCATCTCAGACCTCATTAGTGCAGTCTTGATTGTTGCTCCAACCCTCTGCTGGCCAGTGCCGCCTATCATGTCGCCAGTACAGTGACCCAAGAGATCTCATTGCCCCCTTGTTTTCAGGTAAACAGAGACTATGATATGTGTTCCACAGCTGCAGTCTGCAGTCACCACAGCTTGTAGCCATGCTCTGGGACATGGCAGATGTGAACGCATCTGCACTCGTCTGCAGCCCCTGGGTCTCATTAGCACCACGGCCAGGCTAACAGCACCTAGCATCATTTCCCTTCACATTAGATATCTGACATATGTCACACACAAATACATGGGGATGTTGTTGGTTTATTATTCAGAACCCCAAAGAGATTTCTCCCTTATTGGAAGCCCTTTTTTGTATAAAAAGCTAAAACATGTTTATGATAAAATGTGCGGAAATGTATTGTCAGTAACCATTATTTGCTATGGTTCCATTTTCTAAGCAGGCCTACATGAAATATGCAATTTCCGACCACACCTCTGCAGGTTGTAAACAAACAGAGATGCTGCTGGTAACCTCAGAGTGTTAACACATTTCTACCCTCTTGTGCATTGCAGTCTGTTGTTTTCAGTTAGCATTAATCAAAGTTAGTAGAGCCGTGTGAAAACATGTAAAATATTTGATTATCTAGGTGACTAACCATCTTTTGTTTTTACTTGCTTTCATTCTTCAACTATCTGCATCTGCCACTGCTTGCTACGGTTCAAAGTTAAGCATAGTCTCTATTTTCCTAAAACAACAGTAAACTCTCGTAACTGTTACTATGTTTGTGTGTGTCGCTGCTATAATAAGCAGAGACGTAACGTTAACCTCCGACCGAACAAACTGCAGCAATGCAAAAAGTCATTTCATCGGCATGCCTTACCAGCTGTTTCCTTTGTTAAGCTGCACTAGACATGTTAGACAGGGAAGATAGTTAAGTAAGTAACTATGTTACGTTACGATGTAGCGCGGTCGGTACTAAGGATGTGTATTGTCGCCCGCCCCGACACAAAAACCAGAATATAAACAAGGTCCGAGCTAATTCAGAATGGCGGGTACTATAATGTGATATCTCCAGTAAGACTGAGACAGTTCCAGGTATTACTCGACTACTAAGAACTTGCATCGAGGCTAGAACTAACGTCATATATGGCGCACTGTGTTCATCATGGTTGATGATTACTGTCGCACAACACACTTTGGAGAGCTACAGTACAGTGTCTGTTTTAAACTGAACTAGCTGGGCACAATAACAGGACGCTATTGTTCAATGTGAAAAGCTAGTTAGCTAGCAGCTGACAGTCATTGTTAATCTGCGGATAAAATCACAAGAAACAAATAGATCAATCAAGAGACAGTTATTTGCTTTTACTGTATTTTTTGAGTATAAATATCACTGCTCTTTGTGTTTAGGCAAGCACATCTGGACTGCTGGATAGGGTACATCATGTGGCATGCCAGACAGACCCACCAACAACACGCTCATTTGGAACTCAGCTTTCAATGAAGACTCTCCAACCTCATTTCAGAAGTACAGGTTAGTTGACCAAAAGTTACTTCATTCGTTGATGTGATTTCTTCTGTTTGTGTTCTGTTAATGAGTAACAATATGATTGCTTATCATTTTAGAATTCTGCATAAACAATAACATCATCTGTCTGTTTTTAAGGCACACAGAAAACTGTTTCCTGCACTGATGTTGGTGTTGGCACCTCAGCTCTTACATCAACACCTATAAAGAGACCAAGTAAGAGACGTCGCTTGGAACTGGAGGAGGAGGAAGAGGAGAACCCTTTAGAAGGCAGTTCTGTTGACGTAGAGGAGCCACATGATTCAACTTATGACCCTGCAGACTCTGCCACAACCTTGACTGAGTCAGCAGATGTGACGTGAGTTACCTAAACATTTTACTAATCATTTGTGTTACATTCCTCTACTTGTTGTAGCTCTACTAGGACGATCTTTGACTCATTTTCTGTCAATGTTTTGTGTTTATTGCAGAATGGAATCTTCTACCCCTGTCCATAAGACTCCAACTTATATTGTGTATGAGAACTGCCTAATGGAGCTGTTTCAGGTGTGCCCTGTGTCAGCGGGAATGTGACATGCAGAAAAGAAGATTGGGCACGTTTCTCTCTGTAGAACAGCGGTGTCCGCATTGTGAGTTCTACAGAAAGTGGAACAGCCAGCCTCTTGTTGGGAGCACTCCTGCTGGGAACCTGCAGCTCTCCACTGCAGTGTACGCCACTGGTGCCTCTTTCTTTAAGCTTGAAAAGGTATTGTATTTACACTAAACTATGAATAAAGTAATGGAATATAGCATATGATGTAGCTAAATTTATATACACAATGTGTATTTCTGGAAAAGTGATTAACGTGTGGGTGCCTGTCCTGTCTGTTTCTTTCTCCCACAGATCTTCCGGGCAATGCAGTTGAAGATGTTTCAATATGACTCATTTCGAAGGCATGCTCGGATGTACATAGAGCCCGCGATTGTACACATGTGGAAGACGGCACAGACTGCAATGTGGGAGCAGCTCAGTCAGCAGCAGAATGTCGTCCTCGGTGGTGACTTGAGAGCAGACTCACCAGGTATGTAATACTCTGTCAATAATCTTTTTATATATAAACAAATTTACTTGATAATAAATAAAACACACTGATAAATACTATGTAATGTATATATAAAAAATAATTACTTTCATTTTGAAGGACATTGTGCCAAGTTTGGCAGCTACACAATGATGGACATGAGGAGCAACACTGTTATTGATTTACAGCTGGTTCAAGTGAGTGACAGACCATAAATAATCTCTGTTGTAATCTGTTACAGTGTAGCTCTTATCAGCTGAAATAATACATTTTTATCTGCTTTCTTAAATAATAGAGTAATGAGGTTGGTGGAAACTACCACATGGAGAAAGAGTGCCTGAAGAGGAGCCTTGCTCTGTTGGAGGAACGGGGTGTTACTATAGATAGTATTGTGACGGACCGTCACCCCCAAATCCAGAAGTTCCTGAGGGAGGCCGATGTCACGCATTACTACGATGTATGGCACATGGAAAAAGGTATTATTCCGTGTCTTATTTGTCAACATGAGAGGGGAAAAAAGTTTATTTATGATAACTGTAGTTCCTTTGTTGTTACACTGACAGTTATTGATGTGTAGCCTATTATTATTTCAATTTAGACTGTAAGCTATATCATTTCTGCTATGTTAATTCAAAGTAATATGGTGGTTTACTATGTAATTAATATATGTGAAAGACTTTAAAGCTTTTTGTATTATTAGGACTGTCCAAGAAACTGTCGAAGATCTCACAGAACAAGGAGTGTGAGAAACTGAAGAAGTGGCTTCAGAGTATAAAAAACCACATCTACTGGACGGCTGCTTTATCTACATCGGTGCCAGAGAGAACAGCAAAGTGGATGTCCATTCTGAACCACGTCCGGGACATCCACAACCACGAAGAGCCTGTTTTCCCCCAGTGTTTGCATCCAACCCGCACTTCAAGGGACAAGAGCAAATGGTTGACAACAGGTATGTACACATTATCATGTTTAGGCAGTGTCACTCTACGTAATGACATTATTAAACACTTTCTTCTTTTTCACAGGAACACCAGCCTTCTGCAGGATGGAGAAAGTGCTGAGCAACAAGAGGGTCCTCAAAGATGTGGGGAAGCTGAGCCCTCATTACCAAACCTCATCGCTTGAGTCTTTTCACAGCGTCATCCTACGCTTTGCGCCCAAGAATGTAGTCTTTCCTTTTCTTGGAATGCTGTGCAGGTAAAGAGGGGCTTTTTTTATCATTACAATTATTCGTATGCACATACAGCCACACCAAAATAAGCCAGGTATGGAGCTATATGTGTAAATCTTTCTTTTATTATTTTTCCTCCCAAGACTATACCTGGCAGCCCTGCACTTCAATGAAAATGCAGACCGTCCACAGGCAACAACCTCAGCTGGTGAGCCGCTGTTCAGGCTTCATTTTCCAAAGTGGAAGAAAGGAGAATGCACAGCAAAGCCAGTGAAGGAGCAACCAACCTTCCGTAAGTTTTAAACCTTTTATTGAAAATCACACTGAAAAATGAAACTATAAAATATTTGTAAAATAAATAAAATATAAATTAACCAGTGTCTAAAGTAAACACAATATTGTAATTTTTCTTGTTGCAGATTACGTGGATGAAATCTTGGACCTGGTGTTTGAGAAGGTTTTTCCGGACCCTGGTCCATACACAGATGAGGTGTTGAAGATCTCCATTCCTGAGGATCTCACTGCACAGTTCGAAAAGGCCGGACAAGAAGGGAGGTGGTAGACCGCTACGTGACGAGGTTCAGTCAAGGGCCGGTCTGAACCCCACGTAGATGCCTTGAGCGTCGGGGAACTCCGCCCGTATACGCAGCACCACACAGCTGGGCAGTACCACGTGAATTCTTCTGCCCAGAAAGCCCCAACACCAGCTCACAAAGCCCCTATAGGCCAAGTACCTGTAACGGCTGAACAGAGTACAGATATATTTAGTTTTACATTTATATTTAGAAATAATTTATGATAGCCACATTTTTTTGTAAATATTTGTAATACGTATTTTTTGAACAGTTGTTTGCTGTACTTGTATTTATAAAAATAAAACTGTATAAGCTGTTTTTTGTACTTTCAGTGTTTGATATGTGGACATAAACATTATGGTTTGGGTTTGGGGTATCCAAAAGTATGAAAGATAAATTCCTGCACAATATCAAAATGCCAATACAACCATTTATTAGCAGCAAATTGGTGTTGGACCTAGGTTTAAATGTAATAAATTATGTTATTGCAAGTTAGATTTTGTGCAGAAATGAATCTTTTCTAGTGTTTGATATGTAACATTTTAACAATTATCAAACTGCCTTACAAGAAAAGTAAGCAATCTAACAAAGGGGAAAATTGAATTGTTTTTGGAATATTTTTATTACAATTACACAGAATTTTTATGCAAAAAAACCTTACTGTTCTATTCCCCTCAGACGTAAACGCCCATAGTCTGCTCTGTAGATATTTAGTTCCTTCTGCAGTGAGAATGCATTTAAACACACTCTACCATGCAGGAAGGTGGGTTTTGAAGCTGATTTATCCTTTTTATCACCTGTAAATTTGAAAGGGTAAGTGACGTTTGATGACAGATAATATGACTGAATAGTTACATTTTCATTCAACAAGCATCCATGTACTACCTGTGGTACCTCCCTGCAGCAGACATTCTCTGGCTCTGTAGGCATTGTTGTGCAATTCTCACAAGTACACCTAAACCAGAGGCAAAAAAAGGGAAAAGATATCAGTTATAGTTTTTTATTTGAATACGTTGTTAGCAATAACGACAGGTCAGCTTATGCAACGATGTGACGTTATTAGTTGGAATTATTGCATCATGTTGAAACACAGTAACTACGGGTAAACAGGAATTACTATGGGGTATACAGCGCTGGTAGACAGTCGCCCCAACCCCCACTACATCCCCCGTTTCACACCTAGGTTGTAAAATTAGCACACACGCGTGAAAAGTGGCTACAGTGTGTCTGTGGATAGTACATTAACGTTTGATGTCGGACAGAATAATGATGTAACGTTATTACGGCGTAGCTGATAATAAAAAAAAACGAGTGCTATATTCCCACTCGTAGCTGATATTGCGGACTTGTGAAATGTACTCGTGTAACGGGAATAGCATGCTACTTATGTTTACTCAATTAACAGAAATCTAGATTTTTATTAGCAGTGAGTTACACAAACAGCGGTCAGCGGTCGACCGTATTTAGTCAGCGACCGTATTTACCCGACGTACAAACATACACATTTTTAAGAAAAAAGTAAAATAAAGCTCATAACTCGCCATTCAGAAAGGTCTTGTTGCAGTCTACATTGAACAACTTCTTCGCTAGCTCCTTCTTGTTCAGGGTCTGACTCTGGTTCAAACATATAAGGTTGGACCGAAAAGTTCCTTCCAGCTGCCATGTTTCTCCCAGGGTTCACGTTCAACTGTTGTCATGGTAGCGTGAGCGTGCCGACGTCGGCACACCTCCCGGAAGAAGTGGGTGGATTGCCTGTGTCTCATTTGCATTTAAAGAGACAGGCACTCAAAACCGGGCGCTCTGAACAGGGCTGTTTTGGCAGGGTGATTGAACTGCTATTGTGCTTCATCCTTATGGTATTTTGACCAAAGCATGTCACAGACACCAGGGAACTAGATTAACTTGTTGAAATAGGGTATAATATGACTCCTTTAAAATATATTTAGAAGAAAGTCAGATAGTTGAGATGCACTAACCGACAAGCAGACAAACCTGGGTTGTGCTTCCACAAAATAATAAATTCTTTGTAATGTTTTTGGTCTTGTTGCTGTCTGGAGGGAGTTTCTTTCTCCAGTGTTTGTTACACTGGTAACATAAAATATTACATTAATTAAAGCTGCAAGCAGCGTTGAGCGGGACCTCGCACTCCATGCAACTCGGGGCGTGCTGTGGCCGCGTTGCGTGCCGTCGTAACACGTACGTACCACTACATGAAAATCTCAAAATCAGCTCAAAATCGCCACGCAGCGCTTACTGCCTGTTGCCGGTAGGTGGCGCTATCACTATGTCTTAATATTGTCATGTAGACAAGTTCAGGGCGGGACTGTTGTAACACACGTGAAGTTTCATTGAGATTGGACCACGTACGCTGAAGTTATGAGGACGTGTTCAGGGCGAGACTGTTACAGAATATATGAAGTTTACTGGAGATTGGACATTGCACACTGACGTTAGGAGTGCTGTTTTATGGCGAATCTGCTGAATTCGACAAGTCGTCACTGGCACGGTCATTTCACGTAACTCAGCTCAAAATCGCCACGCAGCGCTTACTTCCTGTTGCCAGTAGGTGGCGCTATCACTATGTCTGAATATTGTCATGTACACGTGTTCAGGGGGGGACTGTTATCAAGCATTTGAAGTGTGGAGCCGATTGGACAATGTACACTCAAGTTACTGCGAATTCGTGTTTTGTGGCGGTCCATCAAAATTTCCCACCACCCCACAGACACGCCCCCTCACCACATTCAACACATAGCATCAACAATGTGTTTTGCATTTTATAAGTAAATTTCAGCTGGATCTGATCATCCTGCGAGGAGTAGAACATGAAAGTATAAAACGTGATACTTCCTGTTACCAGTATGTGGCGCTATCACTACAGGTACATTTGAACAGCTGTAGTGTTCTCATGCAGGGTGTTGAAACTCTGACTAAACACCAAGTTAAACCATAGCCAATGAACACAGAGTCGTCGTAAGTTTGACCATTTACTGTCACACAGCATGTTATATGTTCAATAACATGCTGGTGAAAACTGCAAATAAAAGCAATACAAAAATATTTTAACTAAATATTACAACATACACACCTGTATATTTGAATAAAAATGGCTGTCCTGCACTGTAGATACAGTTATCATGGCTAGTAGCATTGCTGTTAGCTTGTATATAATTGTCAATGAAAACTTTTTAAATTAACTTATCAAATTTTTTTTTATGAAATCACTGCTAATATATGAATTTTAACATGTCTAATGTAAAATCCATCAATTTACGGCATTGCCTCTATGATGCTTCAAAGTGGATGCGAACAGATTGTTTTCAGAGCATGCAAAACATGTCTGCCTTCCCTTTCTGCCAGTCAAGATGAACAGGAAGTAACTAACCAGGAAGTGACCAAAGAGGAAGTGACTAAACAGGATGTGACGTCGTAGCATGAAATAAACAGACAATAAAGTTATAAATGTAGAAATAAATTAGTAAACTTAAAAGTAATCATTCACTTCTTGTTTCCAACTAAAATGAAACACCAACAAATTATTTAAAGGAGAAATTTGAAAAAGCCTTGAAAGGCGACACACTGACGTTATGTCATAAAAACATTTTAAAATACGACAAAAGTATAGGGATCTAAAGAAGTGAGCTGCAAACAGTATTTCCAATGTGTGGCTGACCTGCTGGCATCTCAGACCTCATCCGTCCAGGCCTAAATGTGGCTGAATCCTCTCCTGGCCAGTGCAGACTATTCAATTCAATTCAATTCAATTTTATTTGTATAGCGCCAATTCATAACAGAAGTTATCTCAGGACACTTTTCAAATAGAGCAGGTCTAGACCGAACTCTTTAAAACATTAATTACAGAGACCCAACAGTACCACCATGAGCAAGCACTTGGCGACAAGGGCAAGGAAAAACTGCCTGTTAAAAGGCAGAAACCTAGGACAGATCCTCCGGCTCTAGGTGGGTGGCCTCGTCTGTCTCGACCAGTTGGGGTAGAGAGAGAGAGAGAGAGCGAGAGACAGACAGACAGGTGCACAGCAACAACAGTATTGGCAATGGCAATCTAGCAGGACCATGGCAGGAGGCTCCACCAGGATCGACAAGAACCTGCGAGACGAGAAAGCACAAGAACTCCGGGGAAGAAGTGAAGTTAGTAACATGCATTAATGGAACATGAATGAGTGCAGAAAGAGAGAGGAAGGGAGGAGCTCAGTGCACCATGGGAAATCCCCCGATAGTCTAGGCCTATAGCAGCATAACTAAGGGATGGTTCAGGACTCACCTGATCCAGCCCTAACTATAAGCTTTATCAAAGAGGAATGTCTTAAGCCTACTCTTGAATGTGGAGAGGGTGTCTGCCTCCCGAACCACAACTGGAAGCTGGTTCCACAGGAGAGGAGCTTGGTAACTGAAGGCTCTGGCTCCTGTTCTACTTTTAGAGACTATAGGAACCACAAGTAGCCCAGCATTCAGAGAACGTAGTGTTCTAGAGGGGTAATAGGGTACTATGAGCTCTTTAAGGGGCCCTCATGAAGGGGCCTGACCATGAAGAGCTTTATAGGTGAGGAGGAGGATTTTAAATTCTATTCTACATTTTACAGGGAGCCAATACAGAGAAGCTAGTACAGGAGAGATGTGATCTCTTTTTCTAGTTCCTGTCAGTACTCGTGCTGCAGCGTTCTGGATTAATTGGAGCGTTTTAATGGACTTATTGGGGCAACCTGATAATAAAGAGTTGCAGTAATCCAGCCTTGAAGTAACAAATGCATGGATTAGTTTTTCTGCACCTGTCTGTGATAGGATGTGTCTAATTTGTCTAATATTACGTAAATGAAAGAAGGCAGTCCTAGAGGTCTGCTTTATGTGGGAGTTAAATGACAAATCCTGATCAAAGATAACTCCAAGATTCCTGACAGTGGTGCTAGAGGCCAAGTTAATGCCATCTAGAGTAACTATATCTTTAGACCGTGAGTCTCTAAGGTTTTTGGGGCCAAGAACAAGAGTTTAACATCAGAAAATTGCAGGTCATCCAGGATTTTATGTCCTTAAGTCATGTTTGTAATTTAGATAATTGATTCATTTCATTGGGCTTGATTGATAGATATAACTGCGTATCATCTGCATAACAGTGAAAGTTAATGGAGTGATTCCTAATAATGTTGCCTAAAGGGAGCATATATAAAGTAAATA